GGGGTCCCGCTGCCCGCGCCGCCCGGCCCTGCGCAGAAGGGGACTGAGGCCCGGCTGGCCGCCGCGACTCGGTCCGCAGGTTCCGCAGCCCATGGCTGGTTCCAGCAGGTTTCACCCAGCCCTCTTCCCCACTTCGGGAAGCCAGGCGCAGTCCACTCACCATTCCTCGGCTCCCCGGGTGTTCCCGCGTCAGCGAGGGATGTCCCAATACTCGCAGGTCACAGGGTGGCCAAGGCTGCTGCAGAGCCACCGGGCCTCCCACAGCCAGGAAGTAGCAGCGGAGACTCACAGGAAGAGCCTACTGTGGCGAAGGCGAGACAAAGCGCCCGCCAGCCAGATCCCGGAAGCCGCCCTCTCCTTTCCGGCGGCGCGCCTGATTGACGGGTCCCCACCCCAGCGCCCCTGATTGTATGGGGCTTCAGGCCCCGCCCCCTCAGGCCCTGAGTGACAGGAGATTGCGATCTCACGTGAGGCTGGATGAGGCCAGAATGACCGTTTTGGCCTAGCGGTTTGTAGGGCGTGCGTCCTTCCTGCGCTGGGATCTGACCATGCAAGGAGGACCTTTGCATTTAACCTTGTATACAGGGTTATAGCTATTTGTGCATAGTATAGATATAAAATTGCAAGCAATATAATGACAATTCTGCAACTGCCCAGTGGGTTCACCTTGCCCGCTACCTAGACAGAGCCGATTTCTCAAGACGGGGGAATAGCAATAAAGAAAGAGTAATTCACGCAGAGTCGGCTGTGCGGGAGATCGGAGTTATTTTATTTTATTTTATTTTATTTTTTGAAACAGAGTCTTGCTCTGTCGCCCAGGCTGGAGTGCAGCCTCGGAGTTTTATGATTATTCAAATCAGTCTCCTCGAGCATTTGGGGAAAAGAGTATTTAGAAAGTTTATTTTGCCAAGGTTGGGGATGCTTGTGCATGACACAGCCTCAGGGTGTCCTGATGACAGCTGCCCAAGGTGGTCAGAGCACAGCTTGGTTTTGTTAGAGATAAATGCTCGGTGTCGCAAAGTGAAACCAGCACTCAAGCGAAAGTTTTCTCAGCAATGCAATTTACCTCTGCAGAAGCGTGCTGCTCGCATCAGTCACAATCGCAAGAGCACACGGAACAAAGGAAAGCAGGGGTTTTTATTCCTGACGCAATCCCTACCTCTGGCATGGGCTGGGGCCGGACCTCAAGATCTAAACTGACCCCGTCGGCTATTTGCGAATATTTTCCCAAATAAGGAAGGGGGAAGGGGGATGTGAGTTACAATGGTGGGACCTGTGGTTTCGAAGGGAGAAATGGGTGCAGAGCAGGTAACCAAGGGAACAGATGTGAGTGATCGATTAGAACTGACGGGGGGAAGGTTGTTTACAGTAACTAAGGGCAAGGAGGCATGGAGAACAAGAAAGTTGAGTTCGAGAACAAAACACAAGAACGTTAACATGCCAAACCTTGGAAGAGAAACTGACTGTATCTGACAGTTTTATACATTTTAGGGAGACAGGAGACATCAATCAACATATGTAAGATGAACACTGGTTTGATCCGGTACAACCAGAAGCAAAAGTGGGTCAACTCGAAGCCAGGAGGGGGCTTCCAGGTCACAGGTAGGTGAGAGACGAACGGTTGCATTCTTCTGAGTTTCTGATGAGCCTTTCCCAAGGAGGCAATAAGATATGCATGCTTCTCAGTGAGCATGGGATGACTTTGAATAGAATGAGAGGCAGGTTTGCCCTAAGCAGTTCCCAGATTGACTTTTCCCTTTATCTTAGTGATTGGGGGGGCCCAAAATATTTTCCTTTCCAATTTCCCCCTTTTGTTTTAGAAATATTTTGGAGAAAGCATTTCAGAAGAAAATCAGTCTCTGTGCCAGGTTTTGTCTGATTTCTCAAGGAGTAGCTGAGATTACAGGCGCGCGAAACCACACCTGGCTAATTTTTTTTTTTTTTTGGTAGAAACGGGGTCTCCCTTGGTTGCCCAGGCTGGTCTCTGGTGCCCAAGGCGGGGCTCCCCGTAATGTCTACAAATAATCCAGTGAAGGAACACCAGAGCGTGGAAAGCGGAGGACGACCGACAAAGGACTCCCCAGTAGGTTTTCACTTCAAGCTCTAGGATAAGGAGGGCGCTCGGAGAATTCCGGGGAAACCTCGGGAAAATGTGGGTCGAGCTGAGAGTAAGTTCGCTAATTACTTAAGCCTTGTGCGGCAGTTACTGCGCCGCGGAGGTGTAATTGTGAGTACCCAAAATCGCACATCTTTGCTCCATCTGGTAGACGAGTATTCTCCTTGGTTCCCGGAATACGGAGCCATGAATGTAGAAGATTGGGACAAGGTGGGATCAGACTTAAAACGAGCACAACAAGAGGGCCGGGATATTCCCGTCTCTGCTTGGTCTGTGTGGTCGGCAGTTAAAACAGCCCTGGAGCCCTTCCACACTGAGGAGGAGGAGGAGGAGTTCAGGATGACATAGGAAAGTTGAATAATCAGGAGTCTAATTATCAGCAAAGTGAACCATGACAGTCTAGTTTAAAAAAGGGCGAGAAACGGGAAGGTATGTATGTTAATCTCCAAAAGCTTATAAAAGAAACAGTGCCACCTACTGCGCCTTTAGGGGAAGGTCTGGAATGGCCACCCCCAGGACAGCCTTAGGAATTTTTGGAAGGGGAGCCTGAGACTGGCCTTGCGGCTCCCATTGTTGCAGGCCCTGCTGTTAACTGTGGCGAAGGGAAGCTTCAGGCTTGTCCAACAGCCAGTTAGGATGAGGGAATGATCCAGGCTTGCCCACCTGTTAATTATGGTAGAGGAATGCTGCGAGCCGGTCCAAATACAAATTATGGGGCAGGGACAATCCAGTCATCCATTCGCCAGGCACAAGAAATGGGGGATTTGAATGCTTGGCAGTTTCTGGTCATTATTCCGCCAGCTGAGGAGGCTAGAGAACTTGCTCAAGCATGCTGGGAGCCATTTCCTTTTAAAATGTTAAAGACTGAAAGCAAGCAATTGGACAATATGGGCCAAATTCTCCTTATGTTCATTCCTTGTTACAATGTGTGGCTTATAACAGACGTTGAATACCTGTGGATTGGGAGGCATTAGCCCGATCCACCCTGTCCCCCTCTGAATTGCTCCAATTTAAAACCTGGTGGACGGATGAAGCAACAAATCAGGCAGAAATGCTCAAGCCCAACGTCCCGTTAATATCACACCTGATCAATTGCTTGGAATTGGACAGGTGTGGGGTACTCTAAATCAACAGATGGTAATGGGTGATGAGGTTGTTGATCAGCTCAGAACTATGCCTAAGAGCCTGGGAAAAAAATTCACGACCCTGCTACTGCTTATCCTTCTTTTAACACAGTTCAACAGGGTCTAAGGGAGCCTTATCCAGATTGTATCGCCTGTTTGCACAATGCAGCTCAAAAGGCTATTTCCGATTCTCATGCCAAGAAAGTGATCCTTCAGCTGCTTGCTCATGAAAATGCTAATGCAGAATGTCAGGCAGCAATTAGACCTATTAAGGGAAAGGCAGATCTAAATGAGGAAAAAACTTTAAGTGAATACATTAAAGCCTGCGATGGCATTGGGGGGCACTTATATAAGGCCAGCCTCCTTATATAAGGCCGGGGCAGGGGGGAGAGGGGGAGAAGGGGTGGCTATTACTCCCCATATCGTGGGGGGTGCCTCACCCCCTGCGATGTGGATCGTAATAGCTAGGCAGGGAGAGGGGAGAGCAATATTACAAAGGAGGTGTACACCCCTGCGATATTGAGAGTAATATTATGCTCTCCCCTTCAGGATATTAGGAACAATATCGCAGGAAGTGTGTACAACCCCTGCGATATTGGGAGTAATATCATCTTCTCTCCCTCAATATAAGAAAAAACTTATTGGGCCTACATTCCATTCCCACCACTGGTTAGGCCTGTTACATGGTTAGACACCCCAGTGGAGGTTTATGTTAATGATAGTGTCTGGATGCCTGGACCAACAGATAACTGAGGTCGTACTCATCCAGAGGAGGAAGGAATGTTAATGAATATTTCTATTGGTTATCGCTTTCCTCCCATCTGCCTGGGGCCGGCAGCGGGATGTTTAAATTATGATACACAAAGTTGGATGGCTTATGTTCCTGCACATGATGGATAAAAAGCCTTTATTCATGTAATCAATGGAAGAACATTTCAATCTTTGGACACTATTTTTTTTTGGACCCTTTTTTTTTTTTTTTTTTTTTTTTTTGAGACGGAGTCTCGCTCTGTCACCCAGGCTGGAGTGCAGTGGCCGGATCTCAGCTCACTGCAAGCTCCGCCTCCCGGGTTTACGCCATTCTCCTGCCTCAGCTTCCCGAGTAGCTGGGACTACAGGCGCCCGCCACCTCGCCCAGCTAGTTTTTAATGTATTTTTAGTAGAGACAGGGTTTCACCGTGTTCGCCAGGATGGTCTCGATCTCCTGACCTTGTGATCTGCCCGTCTCAGCCTCCCAAAGTGCTGGGATTACAGGCTTGAGCCACCGTGCCCGGCCTGGACACTATTAAATACCTTGAGCATGGCTATGTTATGACACATCTCCAGATTTATAAATTTAAACCTAATAAGAACCTCCTGCCATTGAATGTCTGAGAAGCTAGAGGTGCTAACCTCGGAAGATTGTATTGCAAACAGTGCTGCTGTACTGCAAAATAATTCCTATGGAATCATCATTGATTGGGCCCCTAGGGGACACTTTGCAGTAAATTGTACTGGACAGAGCGAAGATTGTAGAGAGACTACTTTTGCAAACGACTACCCAGATAATGCACCAAAATTACATAGAATAATTGAAACAAATTACCCTATTAAGTGGGAGGAGAATGGTATGGCTCCTCCAAGCCCAAAAATGATTGACCCAATTAAAAGTACAGAACATCCAGAATTGTGGAAATTAATGATGGCTCAAACCCCAATTCAGATTTGGAAAGGAGAATATAAAACAGAGACCCATGGTAAAAACTTCAATTTGTTGTAGCCATGGCCTCTAATCGGACGGTCCCGTTGCAGAGCTGTGTTAGACCTCCTTTTATGTTGGCAGTGGGAAAAATTAACATCCTACCTGACTCTCAAACCATATCATGCCTCAGCTGTTGTCTTTTTACCTGCATTAATTCTACCTCTAATAAAGATACTGGTTAGGGCCTGAGAAGGAGTTTGGATACCTGTTTCCCTCAATAGACCTTGGGAGGCCTGTCCCTCCATACATAGTATCACCGAAGTACTAAAAGGAATACTTAGTAGATCAAAGAGATTCATATTTACTTTAATAGCTGTGATCATGGGCCTTTTAGCTGTCATAGCTGCTGCTGCTGCTGGTGTTGCTTTGCACTCTTCTATTCAAACTGTGGGCTTTGTGGATAGTTGGCAGAACAATTCTTCTAAGCTTTGGAATTCCCAAAGCCAAACAGAACAAAAATTGGCAAATCACATGAATGATCTCCGTCAAACAGTAATTTGGATGGGAGATCGGATTATGAGCTTGGAGCATAGAATTCAAATGCAATGTGATTGGAATACTTCTGACTTTTGTATTACTCCTAGCTCTTATAATGCCACTGAACACCACTGGGAGATGATTAGACGTCACTACAAGGAAAAGAAGATAATTTAACATTAGATATTGCTAAACTGAAGAAACAACTTTTCGAGGCATCTCAGGCTCATCTCAGCCTGTTGCCTGGAACTGATATTCTTACTGGAGCTGCTGATGGCCTTTCTAACACTAATCCTTTAAAGTGGATTAAAACCATAGGTAGATCAACAATTGCAAATTTTATTTTGGTTTGTGTCTGTTTATGCTGTTTGTTTTTAGTCTACAGATGCGGACGCGCCTTGGGAGAGAAGCCAGGCACAGTGAAGGAAATAGCAATGGCGGTTATTAATTAAAAAAAAAATACATACATATAATAGAGACAAACAGAGGGGCACATGTGGGAAGGAGAGTTTCTGGAATGCCAGATGAGTTGGTCTCCCCTGTGTGAGACATCCGTGGGGAGCCATGGGCGGCCTCTGAGGAGAAAAGTCTCCTGATTGCCTTCATGTCTTTATGCCCCACAGTGGAACAGCTCAGCCGCATGCTACCGGTGCTCGGGGAGATAACACTCCGTTGAAGCGGAGTATAATCAAACATCTTGGCTCCTCCTGAAACCCACTCCCACCCATTTCAGTCCTGATCTTAAGTTAAAGATCTTAAGTAGTTTAGACACACGCCTTTGCTCAAGGAAAATTCGCAGAAACCGCCACTGCTATACACCTTATCGAATGACTCACGAGTTCTCCTTCAGTATTTAATCCTTTCGTCATCCCTTCTTAGCCCTCCCATTCGCCCTAAGCACAAAGAGCTTGTAAACCAATAAACTGGGTGGAGGCCGAGAGCTCGGGCCGTGAACAAGCCTCGGACGCTCGGTCCCCTGGACCCGCCTTTTAACTCTGATTCTGTCTCTTTCTAAATCCTTTGTCTCCGCTGGACTCGGGGTACCCGCCGGCGGTGCGGGGCGGATTTCCCCAACGGGGCTTGAACTCGTGGGCCCAGGCGCGCCTCCCGCTTGAGTCTCCCAAATTGTTGGGGTTACAGGCTGAGCCCCCGCCCGGCCAAACGGCCACACAGGACCGACCGTGTCCCGACTGCGCACCCCCGTCCCGCAGCCCGCGCCAGACCCGGCGCCTCGGCCCAGCGCGCGGGGGTGGAGAGGACGCCGGAAGGGGGCGCCCTGTGGGTCCCGCCGGGTCGCTCGGCCGCACTAGTGGGTCCCCGGGCGGGCGCAGGGCCGGGTTGCGGGACCGGCGGGCGGGGAGGACTCGGGTTCACAGTCGCTCCCGCTCCGGAAAGTGTGCGGCGGCCGCCCCGGAGGGACCTCGGCGGGGAGGAGGCGGCCGGAGTCGGAGTCGGAGGGGTCCGTCCGCTGCCGGAGACTGGGAGCGCCTCCTCCCCGCCTGCCGGGCCCGTGGTGGGGGCCGCACCCACCGCACCCACCGCTGCGTGGCCGGGACCGTCTTGGCTGGCGCCGCCTTGGAGCCGTCGGCACCGCGCGCGGTCGGGGGAGCGGCGGGGGAGGAAGGACCCGGCGAGCCCGGGGAGGGTCCTGCAGGCGGAGGCGCCGGGGCAGGGTGTAGGGTCGGGGCCCGCGCGGCGCTGCTTCTGCTCCCGAAGTCTGCGGTCGGTCCGAGCGGGCGCGGCGGAGTGTGTGACTCCTGGAGCCGCGGGGCCACCCCGGAGCGCGAGGCCGCAGCGGGGAGTCCCTGGGCCCGTCTCCGGGACGGCTTTGGCTGAAGCAGCAGGACGGCGTTTGGAGGGTGGGGGGGACGCGTCCTCTCAGCGCCGGCCTGGACTGACAGCCTCCACTGCGCCCACGCTGCCCTCGTGCCCAGGGTTCTCAGAAGTCCAATGCCAGGCGGAGGCGAGGGGCAGATGCCCAGGGTTGGGAGGCCGCTGGCGGCCCAGGTCCCGCAGGATGCGAAGGATTTTCCAGGAGGGCCCAGGGGCTGCAGGGTGCACAGGCCCACCTTGCACGGGAGCCACTGCCCGGGCCTTAGCTGGGCGGAGCCATTCCGGGGCCGCCGCTCCTTCCCTGCGCGGCCAGGCTCGGGTTCCAGGCAGGCTGCTGCAGGGGGCCTGATCCGGGGGACAGCTGGCCACCCACCCCGGCAAGGGCGCCCACCTCGGCCGCTGACAGCCTCGCAGGGAGGCCCCAGCGATGAGCAAGGGGGCTGGCGGGAGGACGGGAGGCCCAGTCGGCCTGAGTCCTGGACAGGTGATTGACAGGTGCATGAGCTGGAGTGGAGCGTGTCTGGCTGGGGGCCAGGGAAGATCTGCCAGGACCTCAGGGGCTGCAGGCTGCCAACTGCCCGCCCCAGCTCTGGATGCCCTACTCGAAACTCAGTTTCCTCACCTGCCAGGAAGGACCCGTATGTCAGGGGTGTTTTGACGATTAAAGTGGACAATCCTGGTAAGCTCTCGTGAGCCCTCCTTGGCTGCAGATCTTTTTTACTTTTCTGACTTTGCTATGGAACTCTGGAATGCCTGCAGGTGGGGAGGCAGGCAGGCCGGACCTTGGCCCCTGGCTGCATTGTCCCTTATGGGCGCCCGCACTCCTTCTAGGCCCTTTTAAAGCACATACCTAGCGAAACATCTGGACCTCAGAGAGCTTCAGAGAACATTGTGCATTTCCAAAACCAAAATGCTTTCTTCCCTGACCCCATGTTCTCATCTCACTCCAAAACTCAAATTCCTTGGGCAGCCAACTTCAGAAAAGGGCCTCGATTTGATGTTTGTTCTCTGGGACCCACCCAGGGCCCTTTTGATGGAGCATCATGCCACCTCCATCCGCCCCCGCCCCCCAACCGGGGCTTCCCCCAATACACTGGGGGCTCTTAACTGTAGCGACCTGGATCTGGCCACTAGACTCCAGAGGCAGGGGACAGGGAACACAGTCCCCCCAGGAGACTGGCCTGGCCATGGCCTGATGCACAGTGATCTCTGGGCAAGAGACCCAGGACAGGAAATATCTCCGCCCTCTGCTTTCGACCCTCTAGCCTTCAGGGTGAGATTACCTTTTGCCACAGTGGGGAAAACTGAGGCACAGGGCCAGTGAGCAGCAAAGTCGGGGAGACTGTGACTGGGAAACATGCCCAGGTCCTGAACAGCCCTTCCAGGTTGCCACAGCCTTTGGGCTGTTCTTGGCATGTGGCACCCTGGTTGGGTCAGCACCTTGTGGGGTGAGGGTGCTGGCAGGAGCAGGTGCTGTGGGACCCACAGCAGGAGGGGAACATTTTCACCCTTTCCTGGCACAGCAGTTTTGTTCTCTGATGTGTGTGGACTCCTGTGCCTATGTGGGTGTGGACTGGGCCCCTTTCTATTGATCAAAAAAGAACCATTCCTGGAGCGGCCAGGGGAGTATAGGTACCACTTATGCCTGGCAGCTGGGCAGGTGGCAGTGGGGGATGTGGGGGCTTGGCTGTCCCGTGCTCCACTGCCACCTCCCCAGGGGGAGCCAGACCCTGGCCTTAGTGCCCATTCCTGCCCAGTTCCACACATCCTTCACTCAGCATTCCCCTGCCTCATTCCCCCAACTTGGCCCTGCCATGTGTCCCCAGGGGCCCTGGGATGGGCTCACAGGAGGCAGTAACTCTGCCACCTGCCTCTGCCTGAAGTCAGGGGTCCCTAATCTGGCCCCTAGTGGGCTGAGAGGGTGGGCAGGTCAGGGGTCAGCCCTTGGCTGAACATGGAGTCTTTTCCCCAACCCCTGCTTACACTGGTAGGGCTGGGGGCTACTCTGGGTCCTCCCCAGCCCCTCACTAGGCCAGTTTGAAGGAAATACTCGTACAGATGGCTTCACCTGTTGTCAGTTGCCCTCACCAAACTGGAACCAACCAGCTGTTGCCCTTGGACCAGGGCCTGGGCCTGAGGCTGCCATGAACAGTCAGTTTTCTGCCTTCTGGGGGGTGGCATCTCCCAGCTCTGGGTGGTCCCCACAAGACACGATGTCCAGCACTGGAGGGAAGAGATCAGGGCGGGAGCCCCTGACCAGAGGACCTGGCCATGAGCTGTGGGTCCCTGTGGGACGCAGGCTCCTGTGGATGCTTCAGGGGGTGAGTGGGGGTCCTTCTGGCTGGCAGAATCCTGGTGGGAACTGGGCATGTGGAGCTGGCTTAGGCAGGATGGGCAGAATTCGGGCTGGCCAGGGAGCCAAGGACTGGTGTGGCCAATGTGGGCAGCGGGGCCCTTGGATCTAGGCCCAGTGTCAGCAGGATGGCAAGTTAAAGAATCGCTGGCCCAGCTGGATCTGGGGAGAGGCTTTCCCAGCAGAACCACCTTGTCTGCACTGGGTATTGTCTGACCTTGGCAGAGAGGCCTGGGGGTGATGGTCTGCTGGTGCGTCCCTGCTATCAGGCCTTGGTGGCCCCTCAGGAGCTAGGTGCTCACTGCGCAGGGGGAGGGGCCCAGGGGCTACCTGTGTGTATCTGCCCTTAGATGTGCCCCCACCCCAGCTTCTCAGCCTTCAGGGGTGGGGCCCAGGACTGTTTACCTGCTCTATGGCTCCAGCTCTGACTAGCTCGCCTGGTGACTCTGACAGTTTCCTTCTCCCAGCCTGAGTCCTCCTCTGGGAGACACAGGGTTCCAAACCCCATGCAGGTAGAGTTCGCTATTAGCCACTCTTATGAGCCCACCTGGGCCTCCTCACTCCACTGGCCTGTCAGACCCAACTGGCCAGACCTGGTGTCCTGTTTGTATTTTGCTTTTTCCCAGGGTGTGTTTTCTGTAACTACCGCTGTGTGGAGCTATCATAAGAGCCGCAGGGTATAGAACATTCCCACCCCCAAAAGCCCCCACTCTGGGCCCCTTGGCTGGTCAAGCCTGTTTGGCTTGGTGTTGACAGCCCCTGCAGTGTGCACTGTTGAGTGGATCTGTCCACACGGCTGCCTGGGCCTGCATCTCCATCCTTGGTGCTGAGGCCCATTCTGTTCCCCTACTCTCCACCTGAGCTACTCCTGAAGCCAAGACGAGAGATGGGGAGGGGGTGCTGACAGGGACCCCTCCTGGGTGAATCTCTACTGTGAGGAGGCTGGGCTTGCCCCATCCCATCATTTTCTCCCCTGAACTGCACGTCAGCCAGAGGTCAGCCAGGTGCAGCCTGTCTCCACCTGCTTTTGTGCTGCCCATGAACTGAGTGAATTTTACATCCCCAAGCAATAGGAAAAAAATCAAAAGAAGATTAACGCTTTATGACACTTTCCAATTACAAGTTTCCATGTCCATAGTGAAGTTTTCTGGGCGTGTAGCCTTGCCTGTTCCTTTACACATTGTCTGCGGAAGGCTGCGGTCACGCTACAACTGCAGGGCCCCGTCCTTGGGACGGAAGCATTGACAAAGTTGAAAATATTGACCCTCGGCTCTTTAGGCAGTTTCCAGCCCATGCCTGGTTCTGAGCACTGTCTGCTGAGACCCCAGGCTCTGGGCCGGCTCCGTCCTCACTCAGGGCTCCAGTGGCCTCTGCTGGTGTGTCTGTAAAGTGGGGGTGCCATGGGGCCTCCCTGTGGGGTGTTGAGTCCTGGTGTGCCAGGTTTTGGGGTGCCTGCATCAGGCTGACTGTCTCACTGAGAGAGATCCCAGTGCCTGATTCTGGCCAGTAGGAATATTTACTCTTAATCAGTGGGGACACCTTGGAGCTGAGCTGCCACTCACCCAGCGGTGTCTGGGTCAAGGTTGGGGCAGGGCTGGTGTCCTGAACCGCTTTCTGAAGGGGTCCCAGTGGCTGCTGGTGCCAATGCCTTCGAGAGAACGCTGAGGCCAACAGCTGCTGGCAGCGGCTCCCCCAGGCTGTGTGTCCTGTGCCCTTCTGTGTGCGAGTGACAGGCGAGTGCCTGCAGGGGTCATGCCGGGCTGTGTGGAAGGGGCCAGAGGTTAAAGTTCCCTGAGCAGCTGTGTGGTCCAGGAGCAGCCAAGGGGTCTCTGGAGGTGTGGCTGCCATGACCCTACCCTGAAGGACTTGCTTGTCATTGGTAGAGAGGAGAGGACCCCCAGGAGGTGCTGCCTGAGGGGCTCCACTCCCGCTTGTGAGGGGCGCCTAGGGTCCTCCTGGGGCGAGTCAGAGACTGAGCCCTTGGGGTGAAAGTCCCTTCCCCCAGCTGAGAAGCAGCAGGCACCGGGATGTGGGCTGCCTCAGGGCCCCCGCCCACTCGCACCCTCTCCTGCCCTGCAGCTGCTCCATCCTCGGGAGGTGAGGAAGATGGGAGGATGAGGCCAAGACACAGGGGAGACCAGATTCCAGGCACATAGACTGGCAGGGGGTGAGGCCTGGTCCTACCAAGCAAGCCCTGCCCTCCACAGGCAGGTGAGGGACTGAGGTCTGGGGCATGGCCTCCCTAAGTCGCCTCAGGGTGGAGGAGGAGCTGGGCCACTGAGATGGGTCTGTATGCCTGGCCCTGGGCCCTGGGTAGCAGGCTGGGGGTGGGAGGGGACACCCATGCAGCAGATGGGGAGACTGAGGCGCAGGGCTCCGAGGGCTCCAGGAGCAAGGAGGAGGCCAGGGCTGGCCTGTGGGGACTTTGGTGTTGACTCTGGGTGAGGTGGAGCCTGCAGATGTGACTACAGCAGAGCTCAGGTGGCTGCAATGCGGTGAATGGACCCAGGCATTAAGGGCACCAGCAGATGACTGCCACAGCCCAGTGCGGGGGATGGTGTCTATGGGGGGCTGTAGATTAGTGCCAGCAGGGTTTGGGTTTCCCAGCAGATGGCTGTGGGTGTGAGACAGCAATCAGGGGGACAATGCCCAGGGGTTCTGGCTTGGAACAGAGGCAGGTGCACTTTGCTCAACTGTAGATGGCCTGCGTGGGGAGGTGGGACTTGGCTTTGGAGAAGCCCAGAGACGTGCATATGCAAGTGAGTGTCATCCTGGGATGGACACGGAGGGGGGCAGTCACACAACCTGGCGACCAACGGCCCGTGGGCTGAGCCCCCATGCCCGCTGGACTGGAACAGGCAAGGAGGTGAGGAGGAGCCAGCCTGGGAGGTGGAAGTCGGGGGAAGCCCAGGGGACCAGAGGCCAGAGCAGTGGATCCTGGGATAGGACGAGAATTCTTTTGGCTGTGCTGTCCCCATGACCACAGACTCCGGTACTCTCGCCCTGAGTCCCTGCTTGCCCCGCCTACCTGACCATCCCAGGTAGGAGTTAGACGTTCTCATCCCCTGTGAGCTGGGGCTGTGAGGGTCCCTGGACAGCAGCATTTCAGAAGGCATTGTCTGGCCGTGGACAGCACCGTTGAGTCACTGTGGTTGCCTGGTCCTGAGAAAGAGCCCCTGGTGCAGTTTCCTAGGCTCTCACTGTCTCCTGGGGTCTCTGCCCCCCACCCCGGGAAGCCTGGGAGGGCAGCTCAGAGCTCTGGGAGGTGCCTCTTCCCAGCATCTGTCCACACTGTGCCCACCAGTGCCTTGGCATCATCCCCTGAGAGGTGGGCATATGTCCCTGTGGGTGGGTGACAGCAAGGTCATCACAGGGAGGGGGCCGGAGGGGGCGTGTCCCTGTGGGTGACAGCAAGGTCATCATGGGGAAAGGGCGTGTCCCTGTGGGTGACATTAAGGTCACCATGGGGAGGGGGCGTATCCCTGTGGGTGACAGCAAGGTCATCATGGGGAAAGGGCATGTCCCTGTGGGTGACAGTAAAGTCATCATGGGGAGGGGGAGTGTCCCTGTGGGTGACATTAAGGTCACCATGGGGAGGGGGCGTATCCCTGTGGGTGACATTAAGGTAATCATGGGGAGGGGGCGTGTCCCTGTGGGTGACATTAAGGTCATCATGGGGAGGGGGCGTGTCCCTGTGGGCGACAGTAAAGTCATCATGGGGAAGGGGCGAATCCCTGTGGTGGGTGACAGCAAGGTCACCATGAGGAGGGGGCGTGTCTCTGTAGGTGGGTGACAGAAAGGTCACCATGAGGAGGGGGCGTGTCTCTGTAGGTGGGTGACAGCAAGGTCACCATGGGGAGGGGGCATGTCTCTGTAGGTGGGTGACAGAAAGGTCATCATGGGGAGGGGGCATGTCTCTGTCGGTGGGTGACAGAAAGGTCACCATGGGGAGGGGCCGTGTCTCTGTAGGTGGGTGACAGAAAGGTCACCATGGGGAGGGGGCATGTCTCTGTAGGTGGGTGACAGAAAGGTCATCATGGGGAGGGGGCATGTCTCTGTAGGTGGGTGACAGCAAGGTCATCATGGGGAAGGGTTATCTTCCTCCTGGGCCCCTGGTGCCCCCTCCTGGGGGATGACAGTTCAGCATTTCCAAGAGTCTTGGCAGGAAGGCTGCCCCCAAACCAGTCCTTAGGAAGGAGAAAACCGTTGGGCTGAGGGTAGAGGCTGCAGCAGCCCCGGACACCAGAAGGGGGCAGAGGCAGGGCCTCCTGGATGCCATCCTCACCCGGTACCCACCAAGCCCTGGAGCTCTACAGAGGGAGAACTAGGGGCGCAGACTCCAGGGGGCCATCGCTGTCCAGCCGTCTCTGAGGCTCCCAGTTCTCCAGGCAGCCGGATTTCCCCTTCTGGTAAACTGCTCCCAAGGCCTGTCCTGGTTCATGCACCCAGCTGGGTCCTGGGCCTTCTGGTGGGCCTGCCTCGGTGTGCTTCCTCGGGCAGGTGGGTGCTCCCCTGGCAGATGCCCTTATGACCTGAACGCCCCAAGGCCAAGGGGGAGCACCCCGGACCTCTCAGCAGGAGCTGCCAGTTGGAGGAAGCAGACGGGGAGGGGACACATGGTCCAGCTCTGAGAAAGCCTGACGTGGGGGAACATGATGTCGAGGCTCCTGGGAGCCTCATCTACTTAGGCAGGGGTCTTTGAAAGGCCAACACTCCCTACACAGGAGGAGAAACCAAGATCGCAGGCGTGGGCAAGGGCAGCTTTGGAAGGGCATCGGGTCAGATGGGCCTCTGCTCCCCACCTTGGCTATGGCCTTCCCGTGCACTTCTGCCAACGGGGACCCCACTGGACTCAGCTCCAGTGGGTGGACAGGAACCAGCTTGTGGTGCCAGACACCAACACCATTTGCTTCTGATGCCTGACCGTGGGCAACTCTATTCCCTCCATCTGGCTGAAGAGCCAGAAGAAGTTCCGTGGAAAGCATCACACGCGAGCATCGAGGTGGGCCCGGAGGGTGGTGGGGGCAGGGCTGCCATCCTCTCTCCCGCCCTTCCGCGGGGAGCTGAGGCACCAGCAGTAGAGTCTGGTTATGAAGAGTGCGGTGCCTTCAAACTGCTGTTTTCCACCCGTGTCATGAAGAACAAGCTCAGCAGCATCCAGCAAATTACATGCTGGACATGCTGTGTGGGCTGTGGCCTTCAGGCAGGGAGCATGAAGTGAAGTAGCCCTAAGCCCAGCTGGGCCCCTCAACGTGCTCTCCTCACCAGCCCCTTCTGCTGGGCAGCGAGGTGCAGCTCCACGGCAGGTGTACAGCGCCTCAGCACATGGAGGTGAATGGCAGCAAGGCAGGCCTGGACAGCACGCCCTACCTCACTGTTCCCAAGGTGGGCACCACCCCCGGCTGGGTACAGGCTGGACAGCACGCCCTACCTCACTGTTCCCAAGGTGGGCACCTCCCCTGGCTGGGTACAGAGGAATGGGCAGGCTGGAGGCCTCGCTTCACTTAAGTCTTCAGTTCACTGGTAGATTTCATTGAAATCTACTAGCATTATAGAATATTTGGAGTAACCTATGAAAGACAAAATTATGTTGGAAGCCTGAAGCAAGAGAATCACTTGAGTCCAGGAGTTTGAGACCAGCCTGGGAAATGTAGTAAAACCCCGTCTCTACAAAAAATACAAAATGAGCTGGGTGTGGTGGCACGTGCCTGTAGTCCCAGCTACTCGGGAGGCTGAGGTGGGAGCAATTTTCCCACTTGAGCCCTGGATGTCGAGGCTTCAGTGAGCCCAGATGGTGCCACTGCACTCCAGCCTGGAAGACAGTGAGATCCTGTCTCACCAAAAAAAAAAAAAAAAAAAAAGGCACCAGCAGGAAACAAAATCCTGTGCACTGAGTAGTTCTCCAGGATATGAAGTTGTTGGTTCATATAGAACCTGCTATGAACCAAAGTCCAAAATTAGATGTAGTTTCCCCTCAACAATGTGTCAATTCATAAAAGTGGGAATCACTCCTGTGACTGTCTCTCATAATTGGTTCAAAAACATTTGCTTTTCTCTCTGCAACTTTGTATATTTTTAGATTAATTAAATCTCTTTTTTTTTTTTTTTTTTTTTGAGATGGAGTCTCGCTCTGTCGCCCAGGCTGGAGTGCAGTGGCCGGATCTCAGCTCACTGCAAGCTCCGCCTCCCGGGTTCCCGCCATTCTCCTGCCTCAGCCTCCCGAGTAGCTGGGACTACAGGCGCCCGCCACCTCGCCCGGCTAGTTTTTTGTATTTTTTAGTAGAGACGGGGTTTCACTGTGTTAGCCAGGATGGTCTCGATCTCCTGACCTCGTGATCCGCCCGTCTCGGCCTCCCAAAGTGCTGGGATTACAGGCTTGAGCCACCGCGCCCGGCCAATTAAATCTCTTTACTATGGTATGTGTATTTATCCTATTTCATCTTGGGTTTACCTTGATAATTTGTACCTAATGAGATATTTATTCTTAATTTGTAGTATTCCATAGTGTTCCATGTTTTTAGGTTTTCTGGGCAGTCGACATGGAAGATTTATGAGGGTAAGGCTTTGGTGTCATCAGTGAATGACCGAGAGTTTTCTTCTCTTTTTGTTTTAAGAGACAAAAATCTTGCTCTGTCGTCCAGGCTGCAGTGGCGTGATCTTGGCTCACTGTAACCTCCACCTCCCGGGTTCTAGCAATTCTCCTGCCTCAGCCTCCTGAGTAGCTGGGACTACAGGCGCATGCTGCCATACCTAGCTAATTTTTTGTACTTTAGTAGAGACAGGGTTTCACTACGTTGCCCAGGCTAGTCTCAAACTCCTGAGCTCAGGCAATCCACCTGCCTTGGCCT